AACAATAACATGGCTGCCTAATGGAAAATACTTAATACTGGATAACAAACAATCCTTTGGACAGCTGGAGACTGTGGAGAGGAGGAACAGCACCGGGAGGAGGAGGGAACAAAGTGCACAGGGTGATTATCCATCCAGTTGCTGTTGCTCATTTCCTGTCCAATCAGCAACCTGCAGACAGGAAGGTGACCTCAATTTATTCCTTAATTCTAACTAAGAAAATGGTGTTATCCTCCTAGCTGTCCTGTTTAGCAGAGGTGTATAAAACACAAAACCCAAATCTTTTGACAGGTTGGGCAGTTCACATATTTTTCATATACAGTTGCAAGAAAAAGTATGTGAACCCCTTGGGATTACATGGAGTTTTGCATGAATTGGGCATAAAATGTGCTCTGAACGTCATCTAAGTCACAACAATAGAAGAACACAGTCTGCTGAACATAATACTATACAAACATTAGATGTTGCCATGGTTTAATTGCACATAACATGTAAACATTCACAGTGTAGGGAGGAAAAAGTATGTGAACCTTTTGACTTAATAACTGGTTGACCCTCCTTTGGCAGCAATAACCTCAACCAAACGTTTCCTGTAGTTGCAGATCAGACCTGCACAAAAATCTGGAGTAATTTTGGACCACTCCTCTTCACAAAACTGTTTCAGTGTAGCAATATTCTTGGGATGTCTGCTGTGAATCGCTCTCTTAAGGTCATGCGACAGCATTTCAATCGGGTTGAGGTCAGGACTCTGACTGGGCCACTCCAGAAGGCATATTCTGTGCTGTTGCAGCCATTGTTTTGTTGAATTACTTGTATGCTTTGGGTCATTGTCCTGTTGCATCACCCACCCTCTGCGGAGCTTCAGTTGGTGGACAGATGGTCGTACGTTTTCCTGCAAAATGTCTTGATAAACTCTGGAATTCATTTTCCCATCAATGACAACAATCTGTCCAGGCCCTGAGGCAGCAAAGCAGCCCCAAACCATGATGCTCCCTCCGCCATGTTTTACAATGGGGATGAGGTTTTGATGTTGGTGTGCTGTGCCTTTTTTTTCTCCACACATAGTGTTGTGTGTTCTTCCCAAACAACTCAATCTTGGTTTCATCTGTCCACAGTATATTTTGCCAGTAGTGCTGTGGAACATCCAGGTGCTCTTTTGCAAACTTCAAATGTGCTGCAATATTCTTTTTGGACAGCAATGGCTTCCTCCGTGGTGTGTCCTCCCATGTACTCCATTCTTGTTTAATGTTTTCCTTATTGTAGATGTGTCAACAAAAATGTTAGCATGTGCCAGAGATTTCTGTAGGTCTTTAGCTGACACTCTGGGATTCTTCTTTACCTCATGCAGCATTCTGCGCTGTGCTCTTGCAGTCATTTTTACAGGACGACCACGCCTAGGGAGAGTAGCAACAGTGCTAAACTTTCTCCATTTGTAGACAGTCTGTCTTACCGTGGACACATGAACATCAAGGCTTTTGGAGATACTTTTGTAACCCTTTCCAGCTTCATGCAAGTCAACAATTCTTGATCGTAGGTCTTCTGAGAGCTCTTTTCTGCGAGGCATGGTTCACATCAGATAGTGCTTCTTGAAACCAGTAAACCCAAAACAGGTGTGTGTTTTTTAAGGGCAGGACAGCTGTCAGCAACACATCCAATATCATCACACTGATTGGAGTCAAGGTTGGCTCACTCCTGCCTCCAATTAGCTCTGGGAGAAGTCATTAAGCTAGGGCCTCACATACTTTTTCCTCCCTGCACTGTGAATGTTTACATGTTATGTGCAATTAAACCATGGCAACATCTAATGTTTGTGTAGTATTATGTTCAGCAGACTGTGTTCTTCTATTGTTGTGACTTAAATGACGTTCAGAGCACATTTTATGCCTAATTCATGCAAAACTCCATGTAATCCCAAGGGGTTCACATACTTTTTCTTGCAACTGTACGTATTTAGGTTTTTGTCTAGAGTTGAGCTTTAAGTATATTATTTTCCCTCTAGAGATGCATTGAGAAGCAGAAAATAAAATGAGAATTATTAAAATTAGGTGAAATCCCAAGGACTTTTAATCTTTGTACTGACATTTCATCTGAGCTGCAAACTGGAATGCTTCAGAAAAAAGCTTTGCAGTACTCTAATAAAATAAAAATCATCTATGTGATTTGTAGCAAAAGGTTTTTTTTTACTCAGTATTTTTAAACTGATTTGCAGTTTATCCTATTTTGTACAAATGTTACTGAATACTCACCAGGCACCATTCCTGTCAGTGTGGGAGCAGAATAGCTGCCCTGTCCGGCAGGGGGGACGTGCGGAGGGTACCCAGGGAGGGTTGTGCTTGCCAAATCACGACCTAGAGAATCAAACACAGCAAATCACCATGCGAAGTCTCACAAATGCCAAGCATGTTTTTACATCTCCCTGAGAGCTGTGAGCCCTGCCAATGCATTTGTCATCACTGCACAGTGTGAATATCAGGATATCTTGATATACTTGGCAGGAGAAGACATTATTTTTGTGCTCTGCAATATTGTTGAAAATGTGTTATAGGGGGGTGCATGAAAAAAGATAATTGGAAAAAATACATTAAACTGCATGCTGGAATGAGAGTCTGCAAAACACATACTTTTCAGATTGTTTACCAACTGCCACGCTGAAATTGAAACTGAGAGCTTGCATTGGTTTTACTGAAAAATATTTGAAAGCTGGTTGGAAATAAAGGGATTAAATACATTAAAAAAACAGCACAATTGAATTTGCTTTACCAGTGTGCTTTCTTGTATATTATTTTTAACAATGTTTTGCCTAGAGATTATAGACATTACATAGAAGCATAGACATTACATTATTGACACCTGACTGTTTTTGGTATCAGATAATCTCAGGGCAAAAATTCTATGAAATTTAAAAACTTTGTCTCTTCAGAATCGGTTACCCAGGGTTAGATCATAAATGGAGGTGCCGACTTTCAGCTTGCTGCTCCCTATTTCATAGGATAAACAAACATTTCTGATGCATTCATGAGCAACTTGAGTGTACATGTTTATGCAGAAAGCTGCAGAAAATGACATCTGATATTTGGATAATGCCTGTGCATTCTGACTGTCAGCTACAGTCTATAGCTACCTTAATGCATAAAAAATGTACTTAGTAGGATAAAGTGCCAAGTGGATAAGATAACCAGCCTACAATTCTGAATAGAATAGTAATTGGAGGAACAAAATATGTTTAGCTAGGCCATAAGACAGAAATGTTAAGAAGGTAATATGACTGGAGATTTACCAAAGTCAATAATATGAAGGAGAAGAATGCACTTCTTACCTGTCTCAGAGGCAAAATGGCTTTTGTATTAATAAGTGTGGTTTGCATAAAAACTCATGAATAATGCACATTGTTTACCTAACGTAGAGCATGTCTGGTGGGCATCTGGGAACATGGTAGCTTGATACTTCAAAGGTTCAACTTTGGAACACCTTTTTATTCAATAAATCAACCCAATGAGCAAAGTACAGACAAAATGATTTCCCTTGTCTTGGTATGGATTAAGCAAAGAAAATTCTAATTGGCAGTAAAGGATTCAATTTTGTGTTCAGCTTATGAAATATATAGTGTATTCTTTTCAGACACAATAAGACCCCTCGCACATGGGCTTCATAATTTACTGATGTTTACTCAGGAACTTGTGATGCTCATATGAAAGGGGCCAAAAACTGCATGTAAAGACTTGAATAATGTTGAGTATAGGCGAGTAAAGGCGTGTAAGCATATAGATGAGAATAGACGTGTAAAATTCTTCTTCATTGTCAGCATTGTGGCTCCTTGCACAAGGGAGTCAAGGGAGTCACAAGTTCCTGATTAAATATCAGTAAATTATGAAGCTCATGTGCAAGGGGCCTAAATGAGTAAACAGGTGAGTAAATTCCGACACTCAAATAAAAAAATTTCTACTTTCGTTTTCAACTTCTTGCATACTGCAGCTTGAAAAAGTTTAGTACAGAGGGGATTTTCTACTGATCTTAAATGCAGCCCATTTTTACAATGTGTTTGTACACAAAGACAAATAAACAAGCGCTGTGTATTCTTGAGTTAAAAAAAAAAAAATAGAAAAATCTGCATTCCAGGTCAGTATTTTGTGCCAATACGCAAATGACCATAAATATTAATGGATTTCCATAGGAGTGTATTGTGCATGTAAACACGCATACGCAAATACGAACACAAGTACCTGTGAATATGGGCTAAACAAACATCTGAAATTGCATTGTTCATGCTCAAACATCAGTACCATGTGCAAGAGGCTGCAGTGTATTCAATTTATACTACTGATCTACTTGATGTATGTGTAATGTCCCATAGACAACAATGCATCTCATTTCAGATCAGTCAAAAACTCCGCATTTTTTACTTCCATATGTAACAGGCCTGTACTCCAAAGTTGTTGTATGTTAGTAGTAGAAAAGTCATCTACCACACATTTTAAAATTATATTTTCTGAAACTTAAATTTAAATGATAGTGCAGCCTAAGATGAAGGAATTCAGCAGTTTAAGCTACATTGTAAAAAGCTAAACGATATCTGGATTTTTACCATTATGAAACTCTCCAGCATCTTTGTAAATGTTGGTGTAACCTGTCTATAATAACTGTGACTGAAGCTACTTTGTATATGTTAGTGTAACCTGGCTATAATAACTGTGACTAAAGCTACCAAAGTAAAGTACAGTATTTCTAATTTTTGTAGACTGGAAAATACCATATTTTTCGCTCCATAAGACACACTTTTTTCCCCAAAAAATATGGGGGAAAATGTCTGTGCGTCTTATGGAGCGAATACTAACCAGGCCTCCACCTGTCACCACCGCCGTGTTAGGGCCAGCGGCTGTCCCATCCCACTGCAATCTGTCCCCAAAGTTCACCCTACCTTATCTGAGCCCCCTGTCTCAGCGGCCTGTCCCTGCAGCTCTTCATAGCAGGCAGTCCCCTCGCCGAACCCAGCAGGCTTGCTCTGCAGTCCGGTCCGCCCTGCAGGCGTGGCCTGTCCACGGACCTTTCCCCTGCTCCTGGCATGTGCATGTACCATAGTTACTGCACTCCCTGCTCTGCAGTCCGGTCCTATCTGCTGGTGTGGCCTGTCCTCGAAGCTCAGTTAGTTAGTGCGCCCCCTGCCTTCTATAGCCTGCCTTCTGTAAGTTAAAAATGACAGATGCTGGGAGTTGTAGCCCTTTTCTTTGATGTATGGTGTCAGATCATTTGATATTCTGGGTGGAGGGGCCCTGTTGGGACTTTATATGATGTAGTATGTCCGCAGTCTCTGATCATCCCTTGTACTATGTCCGCAGTCTCTGCACATCTCCTGTACTATGTCCGCAGCCTCTGGTCATCTCCTGTACTATGTCCGCAGCCTCTGGTCATCCCCTGTACTGTGTTCGCAGTCTCTGGTCATCTCCTGTACTGTGTCTGCAGTCTCTGGTCATCCTCTGTACTGTGTCCGCAGTCTCTGGTCATCCCCTGTACTGTGTCCGCAGTCTCTGGTCATCTCCTGTACTGTGTCCGCAGTCTCTGGTCATTTCCTGTACTGTGTTCGCAGTCTCTGGTCATCCCCTGTACTGCGTCCGCAGTCTCTGGTCATCCCCTGTACTGTGTCCGCAGTCTCTGGTCATCTCCTGTACTATGCCCGCAGTCTCTGGTCATCTCCTGTACTATGTCCGCAGCCTCTGGTCATCTCCTGTACTGTGTCTGCAGTCTCTGGTCATCTCCTGTACTGTGTCTGCAGTCTCTGGTAATTTCCTGTACTATGTCTGCAGTCCATTGGTTCAGAATATTTTTTTTTCTTGTTTTTCTCCTCTAAAATCTAGAACCGTCTTATGGTCAGGTGCGTCTTTTGGAGCGAAAGATACGGTACATATTTCTTCCATATAACTAGATAAAATAGGAATTAATTTTATTCCTTCAAATGCTGTTTCCAATTGATTGAATGCATGGCAAAGGTGGCACATGGTCAATCTATAACAATTATGTTTACTTAATTAGTCTTCGCCATGTTATATCTGAATGGCTCCTGTCTGTTGTATGAACTAGGTAATGCCACAGGTGTGGGCATGAAATCAATAAGGCATGGCATTCACAGAGGGCATTTGGGTCAGGCAGAACAAACCTTAAATTAAGTATTTGTAAGCAGAGCTCAATTATATATTGAGTTTAAGCGGCTGCCTGAAATTGTCAGTCTAGAGAATGTGTAGTTAAAACTATGATTCTAGACATCCCCTGTGATTTGAAGAAAAAAAAAGAAATTCAGTAGGTCTGTAATCTGTTACTCAAACCATGAAATTTGACTTAGCAAAGGTGCAATGAAATTATCTCCCAAGTTGTAGCATTTCCCGGGCATGATTTTGGAAATAAATGTATAAGTACAAACTGGCAAAGAACATATTAGAACGTTTCTTCATGTCTTACTGGAAACCCTTTACACAAGCTTTTTTGCCTTCCAATATGCAGTAAAATAAGCCAAGCACGTCACATAAAATTGAAATGCCCATGTTGTTAGATTACAATCAGCGAGTGCGCAGTGAATAAAACCTGCAGAGTATGCATGATGAGACAATATCTACCTTTAATTCTTATGACACTATAACTGTAAGGATATCTTTTTGTTTCCTTACAACACAAGCCGCACAATTAGTTAACTGAAACAAGACAGTGAATTTTACTTACTGAATAATTATACCATAAATATAGTACAATACGTTTTTTAGAATACATGGATCAGTTTCCATCAGTCTATCAATAGCTGAATAAAAGCGAAAAAATGCTCCGCTTATATGGAAACAAAGGACATGATTGATATGGGCAAAGTCTACCCAAGGTATTTTGCTAAAATTCTCACCATCTATTACATTTATTAATATTGTTGATGGTTGTCTTGTATTTTTCAGGCTGAACAACAGATGGCAGGGGCACCTAATTCTTCTTGAAAGGAAAAGCTTGAATACACACAGCAAAGAGCAGTTAGGTAACAAGAGAATCCAATCACTGAATTGCTAATGCTAAAGTCAGAAAGTCCATTAACTGAACAACAATCTGAGTCCTAAATACGTTTTTCAAATGAAGTGAAATTAGGAAACTTTTGGTTGCAGTCATGGTTCTGCAGCGTACAACTTCTATGGTGTAGCACAAGAAGAGAAATTGATAGTACCCAACCTATATATTCAAAAGACTCTTGAAATGATGTTTGCAGACCACAGAGTTATAAGCAGTGTGGTAGTCTGGTGCAATGGAAATTAAAGAGCCCTAGGAGGTATTCTGCATTCTCAAAGTGTATCTAAATCCATTCAGTAAGCTCAAACACGCATAAACCTGTTAGTTTAAAGTTGTTTTAAATCCATAGCTTTCATTCAAATAATATCTGTTTATCATGCGATTAATATTCTTGTTCAAGCACATCCTGCTATAAAGTGACAACTGTCCCCCAGTTGTGTTCTTTTGTTGCTACCTTGTCCGATGTACCCCTGGTTAAGACTACAAGAAGTCATGTCAACCATCTCAGTCATGTTGTGATTTTTATCCCACAATCCAAAAACATACTAATGGGTTAATTTATTTCTGTTAAAAAAATGACTCTAGAGGGTATTTATATGTTATGTATGGCTGTTTGAGTAACATTAGATTAAAAGCTCCATTGGGATATGGCCTGATGCAGATGGTTCAATGGTCCCTGGAAAGTACTGCAAAATAAAAAGTCACTTTCTAATTAAATACATAAAATATGTAAATACATTTCAACTTCCAGAATAAATAAATGGCTAGTCCCAAAAGTGTCTTCAAGTTTTTTTCTTAAAAGATGAAATGACCTGTCAGTAGGTCTGGGGGCCACAACTCTCTGTGTGCATGTTTCCATGTTTATGTAAGTTTTCATGCATTTTGCGCTACTTTGTTAGGTTCTGTCAGCCAATGCAATATTGAGATTGCTGTAGATAGGGCTGGTTACCATGCACTGGAAACATGCCAAAGTGCAGGTTACATGTTTTTTTCCTATGCTACAGTTGTCAACAATAGGGTCTGCAACAGGAGTTGGTGCACTAAAAACCAGAACTGCATCACATGTCAATGTAGCGCACAGGTATGAACAACAACCAACTGTACACATACATTGAAGTTTGTTCCAACGCACCCAGTAAATTGAAAAGGTGTAATATAAATGTTTTGCTCCTGGTCCTAATACTATTGCACAATAATCAATAATATACAGTATATACAATATGGAAAACTTTGAATAGTATCTTCAGTTTGCAGTGTGCAGGACCTAATGTCCCTAATTGTTAACTAATATAAAGTATTAATTATTTATGAAGCTGTTATATACAAATTAAGAATAGTGAATTTCTATTCGCTTCCTGTCCCAGAGAAAGGATAAAAAGTTAGACAGTATTTCCCAAAGAAAGGAAATTTTCCCCTCTTAGACAGCTATCTGTTTTAAGATAACTCTCAAATGTTGGATTTCTCCCCACTTTATTTTTATGCAACAATGGTCAGCAGTACAAACCTCCCCAATGGGGAAACTGACACCAATAAACACGTGACAGACTGTCTGACCTTTCACTCTATTCAAAACTAATAAAAAGGGTGTGCTCAGAGTTACACTTTCAGCAGAATTTGCAACCATGACACATACCACAACACAATTCCATGCTCTTGTTAGATAAACTATAAATGAAAAACTTTGTAAAGGCAATGTTTGGAGCACCTGTAAGTCTATGCTCCAGCAGATTCCTGCTTCCAACTAACAGTATACTGCACCAGCCAACAGATGCAGCCAAGCTTGCACTGTTCCCTCTAAGCTCAGTGGCCAGCATTGAGGCAGCACACTATTTAAACTCCAAAAGCTCTGGACTGGTGATAGAGTTTCCACACTGGTGTGCTCTTCTCTTGTACCTGTCTATTTGACCCAAATGTTGCTTCTTACCAATCACGCTATTTGAATTGCCACCATATCCCACCTCTCTAAGTTACTGACCTTGCTATCTGAACTGTTTTCAACCTGCTTGCCATCTGCCTGTTGACAATATGATTGCACACCAGTTGTTGCTGGTGCTTTTAATGCCATAGCTGTCTAACAATCCTCTATTGACTCAGGCCACCTCTGCTACTGGGCAACTTGAGCTCTATGGCCAAGCCAGGGGCGGACTGACAGCTCATGGGGCCCCCCGGGCAATAGGGGATCATGGGGCCCCTGTGTCCTTGCCCAAACTCAAAAAAGCCTATGAAAATGGTACCAAGGGCATCTCATGGGGCCCCCTACTGAACCCCGGGTCCTCGGGCAGTGCCCGAGTTTACAAATGGTCAGTCCGCCCCTGGGCCAAGCATGCATGTTACAATCTGAATATACAATCTCTGTACAATTAACTTGATAATTACCAAAACTATGTAATATGAGAGTCTACCTAATCTATCTAAACACTCTGTATCTAATCAGGCAGGCTTTTGCATTACACAACAGTTGGTAGGTCTATAGAAGACGTATATGGTGAGCAAAACAGACGGTACATGACTTTCAGTTTTCACCTTTACATACCTGGGAAGCTCTAAATTACATTTTGAGAAAGAGAAAATTAAATTCATTAGATATTACATGAGTCAGATTTAACATCTCCTCTTGAGCAAAGATTTAAAAGTATTGTATGATCATTTCATAAAACTACAGTATCTAGAGTGAGATTGTGTGATGGAGGACGTAGAATTTAAACTTTGCAGGGTGGCAGTTTCTTGATGGATAAAGCTTCGGAGATTTTAGGCTCCATTTACTCCTCAATCTAATTTTGTCCTTCGATGCACATTATGCCTAAAATGAGATCTCATGTGGCTTGATCGGTGCTCTAGCACAGGCAGAGGCAATGCACTCACCTCTATTGTTGTTGTCTTTAGAAAAGAAAGCAATACTTTTCATAATAGAAACACAGCAGGGCCCAGAATAAAGTTGCTCTTGTAATTTCTACAAAAGGCATCTACTGGACTAGAACAAAAGTAACACTGTCCATAGTTTAGCTACCCATAGCATTTAAGTTAAGATTCTATACCCTATCATACTGTATTATCATCAGCCATTTTTGTTGAAAACAACATGGCCGCTGTTTTCCTGAATAACAGGCATCTTCTGTGTGTAAATATGTTGTTATGCGAAGTGCGTATGATTTTTCTTGCCATTATTTACTATATACTACATGATCAGCTGCAAAAGGAATTCTATCACAGATCAGAATCTACTCAGAATAGATCAGTTATACTTTAGCACAGCTGAACTCTCAGTATCAGACCTCTAAGTATCAATGAACACATTTACAGGCTTTCCCAATGTGACCTCAAGTATTGCAATCAGCCTTGCCCTGTTCACATCTCAAGACTACAGAACACTCCCCATGTTAAGGAGGTGAGAAGAGAGGAGATGTTATGTAGTCCTAACATTCTTCCTATCCTGGGTGCTCCTACATAGATACAGTACAGTGAATAAGTGTTGGCCTCCTGCAAAAAACACACAAAGTGCATTATTGGCAGGATCACCTAGTGTATATAAAAGAAAAAAGACTGAATAAATAATGCAGTCATAGACTAGTAGGCTGCAATATACTACAATTTTGTTCTTGGATTTACATTCCTTTAAAGCGGAGCTACACTCAAAAGGGGAAGTTGCACTGTAATAACTGCTCCCCCACTCCCCATTAAGGATTGGCACCTTTGGGGGGCAGGGGGGTGCGGGTACCCAAATTTGACGGGTACCCGCTCCCACTTCCGGTTCGATCGCCTAGGCAATCGGAAGCGGAAGGTTTCTTCCCTCCCTGTGGTCTTTTTGGAAGTCCCAGAAGACTACAGGACCATTCACG